GGTGGCCGCAGCTACGGCCACCACGGACGCTATTGTTCCCTGGTGTTAGACGTGCTTTCCCTCCTTTTCATCTGAAGCGAACAATAGGAGGAAAGAGCTTTGCTTTCGGTACTCCTCTGGAAGACGGTCAGAGAGCAAAGAAAAATTCCCTGCCGAGCGTGCAACGGATCTGGACCCTGGAGCGGCTGCGGGCGGCATGGGGCTGCCAGCGAGGCGCTCGGCGTCAGGGAGCCGGGGCGCTGCGGGGCCGCGCCGGGGCGTCCTGCAGCTGCTGCTGTCGCCGGTGCTCCTGCTGCTACTGCACCCAGGCGCCTGTGGGGCTGCAGCGCAGGGAGAGGCGGAGGCGCCCACCCCCTATCTGTGGAAGACGGGTAAGTGGGACGGAGTTCCCCCTTCTTCGTGTCCTCACATCTGCTCCACTGTAAGGAGCTGCGGGCTTTTGGAGGGACCCCTGAGCTTTTTGATGGTCGGATTATGCTGGGATCCTAAGGTAAAAAGTATGATTCCTACGAAGCAAATTAGGTCATGTCCGATGCTATTAGGAAAGAAAAACAGAACAACTAAGAGGCAACAGTGAGTCACTGGAATGTTATTTCTCTCTAGCAGCTCCGTAGTTAATGAGGACAACGCTTCACTTCCGTAATGAAGTGCAATATTTTTAACCTCTGATTCGCATTCTACTGGGAGTTACTAAAATATATTCTAGCAAAGAGCAAACAAACTGGCCCGATCTTCATTGTGTCTTTAGTCAAGCAATACGCTCCGTGCCTTGATAGGAGTGCACATGGAGTTGAATTTGTTAAGTTTGGCTTTGTGTTATCTGGGACATTCGGAAACAAACCACTCAAGGGCCGTTCTAACAGTAAAAGGCAAAAAAAAAAAAAAAGTGCTGATGAGCCCTCGGGGAAGATTGAGTAAAGCTCAATTTTTAATGAGTGAATTGTAGGATTTTAAAAGTACCACTGTTAGGATGTTTGAGTTTAAACTTTCCCTTCCTTGGGAATTCTTTCGCTTTGTTTTTCAATCACCCAACAAAAAGACTGTCTAAGTGCCACTCAGTACCTCCCTGTGAAGTGTCTGGACAGCCTGGTAGGGCAGTGACCAGCAGGAAAACAGTACCAAGTGAGGACATGTCACCCTGCTCCTGCTGACTGGGTTTCTCAGACCACTAAAGGACGCTGAAATTTCTTCCGCAGACCCAAAACTTCACGTGTTCGTATGAATACAGTGGGAAAAGATTGTTCCTGTTGGTTAGAGCCTGAGATAGTAGAGTTCCTCAGCAATGCCTAAACAGTCAGAAAAGGATGTACTAGAAAGGGAAAGTATGAATTCATCGTGGGATTGCAAACACAGTTCAAAGAGTACGTCTCTTGCCTGGCTTCAGCCAATCTCTGCCCCCATGCTGAGGAGACAGATCAATTTATTCTAAAATTGTACCAATATCCTGAATTTGTAAAGAAGTTATTATACATCTATTCAGCAACTTAATGGCGATAAAACAAACTAAGACATAATATGTATTTTGTCTTAGAATAATGAAAAACACACATATTTATAAAAGCAAAATAATTCTTGCTAACACTTTAAAGATTGGTTGATGAATGAATACAGAAGAAATAACAGGATTTTCATGTAAGATAAGTTGAAGCTCTCTAGGTAAAGTCATGGTTTTACTTTTCCAAAACTCATTCATATGTCAAACACTAGTCAAACTCTAACTTCCCATCGTATAGGATTATTTGGATGCTTGCTAAGAACTCAGGTGAGTAAGAGTTTGACAAAATTGGACTTGCCTTGTTGAAATTTGTACTATCAAAGTAACAAGAGCCAAGCAGTAATTCAGATCGAAAAGAGTCTAGGCAACATTCACTGTGCAGCATCTGAGGTGCCAATATATGTCAACATAAATGTCATGGTGAGAACACAAGCCAATAAACAGCTTAAAATAGTGGAACGCTCTCAGGAGCAAGGATATGGAGACCTTGATTCAAGTGCCAGTTCCAGTTTTCCCCAGCATCAGAACGTTGGCAGTTCACTTAACTTTTGACCCCTAGTTTCCTCAACCGTGTATAAATATAAAGATACCTTCTTCTGATCACATAGTGAAAATCAAATGAGTGAGTCAAAAGAAAGTCTTTAGTAAGTTTTAAAGTTATGTGTAAATATAAGCTAGTGTAATGAAGATGATGATAATACTTTTTTCAGCGATCCTTGGTTTGGTTTAAAGAAATGGTGAATTAAATTGGAGAGAAAAATAATGAATTCCTCTCCCTTTCTGACCTCCTAGAAGGAAAGGGGGCTACCATATCTATAAAGAAGTTGGAAGTAATTCTTAAAGATTAAGGGACTATTTAAAGGAAAGGGGTACATCGTAAATGAAAATCCAGAGAACATAGAATCATAAGTGTTTGTCATTTGATGAAAATAAAAAGGCAGAAAGAGAATTGGGAGAGAAAAGAGGTGACACAATCTTGAATTTCTACTCAATGGAATGTGTTTGGTCTTGGTACAGAACACTATAGGGAATTACATTAATGGTAAGATTGAATTAAAATGATGCAGTGAAAGTTCTAGTAGATGATGAGCTGGGACAGGAAATCTATGTGTGTCACTGACATGCTATAGAACTTTGACAAATTTATTAATGACTATGTTCTTGGCTTCCTAATTTTAATATTCAGTGTTGAGAAAAGATGATATTTAAGGGCTTTTTTAACTCTAAAGTACTTCATAGATATGAACAAATATGCAAATGAACACATCAGAAATAGATATGTATATATACCCAAATATAGCACATATATGTGAAATGTATACATGTATATAGTACATATTACTTATGATACATTATATGTAATGTATTATATACCTTATATGAGAGCTTTATTGCCAACTTGCAACGGAGTTACTGAGAAACTACAGCTTGCAGTCATCATGGTATAGGTTGAATAAAATACTGTCATCCCTGCCTTCAAGAAACTTAAAATTGGACGATATACATAACAACTATAACTTGGCATACCATATCCATGAATAGAACATGCTGAGAATAACCAAATGGTATTTAATTCTCTCTCCTACACTGTTGATTTATAACAAAGAGAACTCTGGAATTTAAGATATTTAAAATGTTTATTGAAGTATAAAAGTTAAAATTTTTATTAGTTTTTTTGTCATAGTCATTTGAAAAGTAACTTGTCTGTGCAAATAATTGGTAAACATATTTCATATACACAGAGGTACAGCCCATTATTGAAAAATAATTACCGATAAGTGTTAAAAAGTTTCTATTATTATAGCATATGAGGTTATTTCCACAGTAATTATGGTTAATTATATTCACTTGGCAATTTTAATTGTGACTTGCAGAGGATTACACAAAATATGATTGACTTAGCATGAGTCAGACAGACCATACTTACTACATTGAAGTTTTATCAACTTTGCCATAGTTATATTTTAAAATTATTTAAAAAATAGAAAATATTTTTCAAAAGTCTCAATGAAGTCATTGAATTTGCTTTTATATAATGAAGTTACACTGAAATCCAGCAAACATGTACATACAAATAATTTTTTAGAACTCCATTGATGAGGTATTTAAAGGTATAAGTTTTCTCTCATGGAGACTACTTTTCACATGAAATACTTTTGAACTAGGTTCATCTACTGTGGGACAGCACTATTATTGATAGTCTCTGTGTTCTTTACCAAGTTAATTGCATTAAAATAATACCTTTCTTTTTCATTTTCCTTCTTGTACTATTAATATCATTGATTAATTCAAATGTCACATATTCTGCAATGTATACAAAACAAAATTCTATCTTAATCATCAAATAAGAAAGAGAAAATGATGTCATTCCAGGTTCTCCTAATATGATGGTGGGGAGATTATCCTAACAGAAGTGTTTTAAACTTTAGTTGTGCATACAACTTGACCTTACTTGGAGTGTGACAGAGTTTACATGGAAAAGAAGGATGGAGTAGAGTAGATAGAACATGGGCATCAGTGTCAATCATTCCTAGGTGATGTGGATCAAAAATACTCTACACATGTTACCTAGGCAACTATTTCATCTCCCTGAAACTTTTCTTTTTATCTCCAATAGCTATAGGAGTTTAATGAGGATTAAACATTATAGTATGCGATGTAATAATAGAGGAGCTAACACCTATTAGAAGTTCAGTAACTAGGGACCTGCAGTTAGTGTAATGGCTATGTCGCTGGACTCCCATGTGGTCGACTGGGGTTTGAGTCCTGGACCTAGTGGCTTGAAATTCACACCGGGCGCATGTGCGTGCGTGCCCAAGATCCCGAGAGGAGAATATTTTATATATATGTATATGTATATATATATGTATATATATAAAGTTCAGTAACTAATAGTTTTTATTTACTATTATTCTGTTATATTATACAGTGACTACTTAATTTTATGACCTGGAGCAAGTCTAGTAATGTGCATTAGCTTTCTGTTAAGCATCTCTCTTTTTTTCAATAAATGCACTAGAAATTACAAATTATACAGTTAATCAAAGTGCTAGATACTCAGATGAGTTACAAGGAGGCAGTGCTGTAGAGAGGAAAGAACACAGGCTTTGGGGTCAGACAAACCACTATTTAGGCCCTATCTCTACCTGACTAGTTAGGTTAGTTATACTCTTGGACTTTTTCACCTTAGACTGATGATGGAAGTTCTGTAGGAAGGCGGCCTTTGTGAAGTTTTAACATGTAGTAAAAACAAAGTATGTAGCATAGTGCTCGACTATAGTGAACATTCAAAGAGCGCTAGGTCTCTTCTCATTCTTTATATTTCTCCCTCTAAAAATGAAATAACTTAGAGGACCAGCAGATGGCGTAATGGTTATGTCACTGGACTCCCAAGTAGTCGACCACAGTTTGAGTCTTGTTCTGGACCCGGTGCCTTAAGTCACACCAGGCTGTGGGCATGTGTGCCCGAAATCCCTAGAGGAGACTGAAGGAGAAGGGATTGCAGCATGATCATCCCCCTGGGGAGTGATTTCTCTGTTTTTATCTCTCTGTGTCTCTCTGGTGAGCTTACATGCCCTATAGTAAAAATATCTTTTGGAAAAAAATAATGACATAACTTGCAGAAATTCTACTGGTCTAATACATTCACCTATGTTTCCACTAAAGGGCACCATGAAAGACAGATGAAAGTCTAGAAAGAGAAGTTATTTAATTATAGGCTTATCTGTTTGTTTATTTGGCATTTATATATAGATAGCATTTACCAAGTATTGTAAAAATATTTTGAGCAGTTATTTCTGGTGAATTATGTATATAGAACTTTTGATCATTTATTTGTATTGTGCCTCAGGATTTACATTTTTTTTGGGGGGTGGG